ACACTCGCACACACACTATGCTGACCACATACACACATACACATACTGTGCTGACAACCCACACACACACACACACTCTGCTGACCACACATACACACACTCTGCTGACCACACACACACACTCGCACACACACTATGCTGACCACATACATACACACAGGCTAATCCAGACACACACACACACACACACACACACACACACACACACGTGTAACAGTATAGTGTGTGTCCAGACAGAACCCTCTCTCCTCGGGGCCGGGATACCTGCTCAGGTGAGGCTGAACGCTGCAGGGCGGCGGCCCCCAGGAGCCAGTGAGGGCCCCCTGCTGTTTCTCAAGGCAGCGTTGGCTCTGTCCTGTGATTGGTTCATTTTTTGAGTCTTGAGCCAATCAGTGCAGTTCTAAACAGGATAGATCATCTTACGATGAACACTTCAGAGTGTAAACAGACACAGCCGCCATACTGAAAACTGAAAGTGCCCGAAATGGCCTCCAAGGGCCCTTCAGAATGAGGGATGTCAAAGGGAACAACTGCAGTACACTTCAGCCCCCATGATCCTTTGCACAGGGAAGTTGTTCAATGTTGAGCATTGAGTTTCATTTGCGTGTTCATCCCTATGCCCTAATCCCTTAAAATCTGCCCCTCTAGAAGCTGAACCCTTCATAGGGATCAGGGAATTGGGATGAACCCTTGCCAATGTTTGTGAATCTCTGTGGGTGAGTTACAGCGCCACACTCTGCTCAGGTGTGTGTACTGCAGCAGTTTAGTAGTCAGTGTTTTCAGTGTGTGCGCAGAGATTTGAGACGCGAGGCGATGAGTACAGGACGCTCTATAGGACGCTCTGGCATGGTGTGGGGGAAGCGACACACTGCTTTCTTTATTTCAGGTGAACTAATGATGTCTTTAACAGCACAGCGACGCCGAGCCGAGCACTGTACTGATCATCTCACTAATGAACACACACACACACACACACACACACACACACACACACGAACAGGACAGAATCAAGAACTATTATAGAGACCAGTCTGAGCTTCATCATTTCATTTAACCACTGAAGCGCAACAGAGAATATCCAGTGGAAACCTTGTGAAAGTAGAGCAGATTCTGCCGTCTCAAACACACGCAGGACACACACACACACACACACACACACACACACACGCTCAGAGTAATGTGCAGAGAAGAGCAAACGTTTGTAGATGGAGAGAGACCCAGCTTCCTCCAGTCAGAGTGAAACTCTATCGCCTCTAAATGATGCCATATGTGTCCACACACACACACACACTGATCCCGGAGCAGACAAAGCAGCTCTGTTAGTCTCGCTCTCACACACTGTTTGTTGGCTTCATTTTAAATCGGCACATATTAAAGGGGAAGCTCACCCATGAACACCGCGCTGTCGCTCACTCGCTCCAAACCTTTATGAGTTTCAGTCCTCTGCTGAACACAACAGAAGATAATTTGAGGAATGCTGGAGACCTGTAACCGTCGTCTCCCTCAGTGTGTGTGGGTGTTTTCAGAGCTCTTCTCTTGTGTTCAGCATGATGCAGAAGCTGATGAAGGTTTGGGCCGGGCTGAGAGAGCGGGTCGTGGGTGAGCTTCACAGGTGGGTAACCCATTTCTTTAAGGTGCTTTTAAAAGTGGAAGCCCAAATCCCTGAAAGAGCATGAGCAGTCATGTGAGTAATTTATTTATGAGAGAGAGAGATAAATAAATTACGCTCAGGTGTGGAGGCGTCGGCGCTGGCGCAGACGGGACAGCACTCCCCGAGCGGGATTTCGGGTTTAGCGCAGTCCCTCAGCTCCTCACACACGATCTCATCGCACAGCACGGTGCCGCTGTCACACACACAGATCCGGCACGGCTCCGGCTTCCACACGTCCTTATCCCGGT